TCAGACACCTTCTCCAAAACGGTAATGAAGAAACCGCCAGTGTCTTGCATGTGGGGGTAGATACGGATACACCTGTCGAGGGGCAGATCCTCCGTAGGGGGGAACATGCCCTCAGCAACCCGGCCAAGGCCACTGATACCCTCGCGCTCCTTGCGCTCTTCGACCTCCTTCCAGCTGTTGTACATGCGACCCTCACGGTCCATGACCTTCCATGTCTTCAAGCCAGAGGCTCTCTTCAGTCCTGGAAGCTCATTCCTGCAGTCGAGAATGCGGACATTGGCCGAGCCGCAGCGCTCCAAAGCGCTAGCAATGACAGCTTCGTTCTCGATGGGGTTCATACTGCAAGTGGAGTAGACCACACGGCCACCGACCTTCAACATCTGCAGAGCGCGGACAAGGATCCGGACCTGAGTGGCGTACAATCCCAGAGCGTTGTTGTAGTTCCAGTCCTTCCAGACACCCCAGTTCTTTCTCGCCGTTCCGTCACCGGTGCAAGGCACATCAGCCAGGATGCGGTCAAACTTGAGGTATTTGTTCTTGACGGGCTTTCCTTCGGGAGCGGGCTCCGGAGGCAACTTGATCGAGGGGAACATCGTGGCGTCGTGGTTCGTCACGATCAAGTTGGGCGAGCTCAGTCGCTTCATCTGGTGGATCAACATGTGGGCGCGCTTGTAGTCGGCATCGTTGGCGATGAGCAAGCCGGTGGTTCGGCCATCGTCACCCAGACCTTCCGGTCCCATAGGTTCGGCGGAAGCGGTACCCTCAGCCACCTTCGCGGTCACTTGTTGCATAGATTCCTCCTCGCCGGCGTGGATCATCTCCATGAGCTGTGCGGACTTGCTACCAGGGGCAGCACACATATCCAGAACGGTCATGCCAGGCTTGACGTCAAGCAGAAGAGGGGGGATCATGCTGACTACCTCCTGTCTGCTGATGTTGCCGACCTCGGTCTCGGCGACGAGGAATTTCTGGAACGAAGCGAAGGGGGCGAAGCGCCGAACGACCTGCTTGGGGGTGGTCATGGACCAGGCGAGTTGGTCGGGGTACCAGGGAACGGGACGGGGAGGCTCGACATCTTTGCCCTCGTATTTGATCGAAGTAATTTCGGGGATGTAAAAGTTCTTGAGCTTTTCCTGGACGGCTAGCGCATGGCTTGAAGCGAATGTCAGTTGCATTGACTCGAACGATATCGCAGGAGCTGCTATAGTCCAGCGCAAGGGTAATTAACGTACCCACGAGACCCGGTGAAGCGGAAGCTGTTAGGAAGATCCCTCCTGATGGCCTCCCAGAAAGCCTCCCTCTCCTCCTCGGGGATAAATCCCTGCTCGTTGTAGTAGCTTTCGAACTTGGCGTTTTCCCTGGCGACTTGCTGCCAGTTTTGACGTTCGCGACCGCCGCCGCCCTGCCGAGATAATGAAGTTAGTCTCCACCCACGATGGCAATCAAATGCAAAATTGACGAGATAATTATAATCTCCCGGATATGCAGATTGTCTTACATACCTTCTTTCCACGCTTACCCATGATTATCACGATTAATTGCGATGCGAAAGAACCAGACGAGCTTCCGCAATTTCTCCGCTGCAGAAATCAATCCATCGCCAATCGCGCCTCCAATCCGCCCGCCATTATGTAAGCCCGTCCCGCCATGGAACATCCTCGGGCCGGTACACTAACCGGATATAGTTAGCCGTCATTCATTCGGATGGATTCACCAGTTGATGATCGCTCTTGCAACCAGAGACCCGACCAGACACAAGCTTGTCTTCGGGGGAATGACCAGCTGCATAGATTGGACGCCAATGTGCACAGGAAATGATGAACTCCGAATATGTACATATCTACGATCATCCTCAGATTTAGGTTATAATCACCGATCTGGACGGAATATGTAGCCGGAGCAGTGTCTGTGTAGTACCCTAGGAGCACAGCAGGATAGAACCAATTTCAAGCGCCACTTAGGCCAACCAGGCTCACTTCATTATGCTCCGAAGATCCTTGGCCTTATCAAATGCTGTCGGCCAGATAATGAGTGCAGGTAGCCCTTGCATTGATTGGCGTCAATATTTCCTATGCCAGCAAAGCAATCACCGCCTCTGATGCGGGCGTGCCTCTTAAGCGGTCATTTTCCGGAGAGCTCAAATCCGTGGGAACTCAATGTCGTCTAAATGTGCAATTCTAGCGGGGAAAGAAAATGGATACAGAGTTGTCGGTCTACTCAACATTCTCCGAGGAAACCACCGAGCAAGAAGATGATAGTATACACTACCCGGAAGGAGGTCTCCAGGCATGGCTGGTGGTCTTCGGCGCATGGTGCGCTATGGTCCCAGCATTGGGCTTAATGAACACTGCGGGGACGCTCCATATCTGGACCAGCACCCATCAGCTCAGAGACTACCCAGAGTCGAGCTATGGCTGGATTTATGGTGCATATGGATTCTTCCTTTACTTCGCAGGAGCCCAAAGTGGTGCGTACTTCAGCGTCGAGCTTTGAGTATTACCGGCTAATCATCTTATTGACTGTTATAGGGCCAATCTTGGATACATGGGGCCCAACCTACATCATTCTTCCAGGGTCCATCGGCATGGTAGTATCGTTGGTATGCTTCAGTTTTAGTAAAGGTAAGATCCCGAGAGAATAACAGCAGCATCGCAACTGACTATGTGTAGAATACTATCAGATCTTCCTGTCTTTCAGCGTTTTGGGGGGAATATCGGCTAGTGCTCTGTTTACTCCGGCTGTTGCAGCAATCGGCCATTGGTTCAACGTCCGTCGAGCATTTGTCACTGGACTGGCTTGCACAGCAGGTGGACTCGGAGGTGTGATCTTCCCTGCGATCATCTACTTCAATGCGCCAAAGATCGGATTTGGCTGGTCGATCCGGATCATTGCACTCCTGAGCCTCGTCCTCTGTGCTATCGCGTGTCTTCTGATCAGGACCCGGTTACCCCTCGGTAAAGAAACCGGAGGCAGTGCGCTAGCAGATTTCAAAGCATTGAAAGATCCCAAGTACGCCGTCACCACAGCCGCAATATTCCTTGCTGACTTTGCCGTGTTCGTACCAAACACATACCTTTCTTCATATGCAGTCCACGTGGGATTGAGCAACACAGTTTCATACTTGTTGCTTGTCTTCCTGAACATCGGACTGATCCCTGGCCGTCTGTTACCGGGTCTAGCTGCTGATCGCTTAGGGAGGTTCAACATGATGATTGTTACCTCCCTCGTATGCTCAATATTGACCCTTGCATTGTGGTACAAGTCTGGAAGTAGCTTGGGCGCAATTGTCTGTTATGCCGTACTGTTTGGCTTCTGGAGCGGAGCTGCCATGAGTCTGTCCCCGGTCTGTATCTCACAGATCTGTGCAACCGAGGACTACGGAGCGCGGACAGGCACAACGTATACCATCGCCAGTCTCGGCGTACTCACGGGGATTCCGATCGCCGGTGCAATCATCCAGCGCGATCATGGGCAGTACGGCGGGCTCATCATCTTCGCGGGTGTGCTGTATCTCGCGGCGGCAGCAGTGTTTGCCGTAGCTCGGGGGATTTGCAGGGGTTGGTCGTTGAAGACCCGGTTTTGACCAGGGTTCTTCGCTCGGAGAAGAGCTTAGCCAGTCTCAGCCAACCCGGGCCTGTCCCGTGCGTGGCTTAGCAGGGCTGTGGAAGCATCACTGCGATAAGCAGCATACCATACATGAAAACAGGTAGTGCGGAGTTCAAACAACAGCCTCTCTTGCTGTTATTTGCTTTTGTTGACAGGTGGAAGGTTCCGTATAACCGAAGCAAAATCATCCTTCTAGGTGACAGTGTGTCCAAGGAGCAGACCAGCCCGTTAGTTCCCTAACTAGTGCCTAGCATCCCTGTTGAGCTCAGCCCCGCGACTCAGCGGCCTGGTCGTTGAGCCTCCATAACAGTGTCAATAGCAGTCACAATCCGCCAAAGAATTCACTCTGGCCTGATCAGCCGCACAATCAAACTACCTAGTCCGTCGTTAGTGTTTAGACCAAAGAATGGCAGCACCAATACCTACTAGTCACCATCATCCCAGCCCAATAAGTAGAAGCCGCAGCTGAACATAATTTAACTAACAAAATTGGCCAAGCAATGCACCCTATTCCCTTGAGACAGTGGCTGAAAATGAAACCATTTCGACCCGAAAAACACAGGCTCCAGAAAAGCTTAGATTGCATTGTTAGTGTCGTGTATTGTTGCTATGTTTGTTCACATGGATAGACGGACCCTATCTATCTAGGCACACTAGGCAGAACCGACGCCCAAAAACCGCGGTCAATCAGTCAACCCGCGAGCGAGCCCTGATCGTGATCCACGCCCGTGTTTTCCCTCCCGCGATGCCCCTAAACACGATCTCGTTACCTAAATATCCACCCTTCAACCTTCATGTCTCAACCTTCAATACGAACTACCATCTCTTCTTTCGGAATTAATCACCGCGCATCCTCATATAATACTCTTGTCCTCCTTAAGACCAAGAAACCAAGAAAACCTAAAACAACCCCCCACCCCTTCACCATTTTGACTGCTGCAAGCCCTCGCTTACGCCCTGACAACAACCCTGACTGACACCCATGTTTGAGGTTCCTGTTGGCCCCCAAACCGAAGGGCCAAAACCAGCTAGATAGGTAGAGATAAACAGCCACTACTAAACTCGTCAAAACTAATTCCTTGGCCCGATTCCTATTCATCTACCCAAATCAGCAGCAGCCAGCGAACGGCCCCTTAGACTCCTGCCCTTACTTACCCTATACTAGTCTAAGGCGGATGGATAGCGATCAACGGCTGTCTGTTTTGGTTTCCTTGAACGCCAACCAACACTAATGCAAGGCTGTGTTCGTATGTGGAGTCTGTCCTGGGGCTGATTTTCGTTTTGTCTCTTTGTTTGATGTGTGACTTATTTTTTTCTCTCGAGTCACTGTCAGTGCCGTGCGATTTGCATCGCCCCCATGCAAGATCGGGCGTAATTGTAACCAGAGACAGAAGTTAGTTTAGTTATAGGGGGGAAATGGTGGGTTGGACAAGAGTTATAAAAACCAAGGAGGTATGCTTTTGCTGACTGGGGTTTCAGTATCACTTTCTTTTATTTTCTACTATTTTAAACATACTCGATTCCTTTGAATCAACATATACATTCGTTCAATTATTCTTTTTTCCTCTCTCCTACTTATTTACCATCAGCCTGAGATACCCAGCATATAAAACACTATCTCGCTCACTCACCACACCATATACCCAATTACCTCCATCACCACATCCCAAACAAAGTAATAAATCAAAATGGGCGAAGGTCAAGAATGGTCCTCCGGTTTCTGGGACTGCTGCTCCCCCTGCGGCACCTGTAGGTTCCCTACCCTCAGTGTCCCCCAAGCACTACACACACACATGCACCCAGCTAACCAAATATACACAAACGAACAGGCTTCCTAGGCTTCTGCTGTCCTTGCTGCCTGCACGGCCGCACCAGCTCTCGTCTCGAAGACCCCACCCTGAAAGATGATAGCATGATGAACGGTGGTGTACGTACACTTACCCCCCACCCAACCCCCGGTCTCTCTTTCCATACGACCAATTCAATACTAATAATGCAATTCAGTGCTGCGTCTACTTCCTCCTCAGCTACTGCGGCTTCCACTTCATCCCACTGATGATGAAGCGCGGCCAAATTCGAGAGAGATTCGGCCTGGAGGGGTCCGGATGCGGGGACTGTATGCGGGCGTGCTGCTGCCCGTGCTGCACGCTCATGCAGCATGAGAAGGAGTTGGAGAGTCGGGCGGCGTTGTTGGAGGGCGGTGCTGGTGCTGCTGGGCAGCAGGGGTATAAGGCTCCTGGGGGGATGCAGTATGCTTAATCTTCAAGTTCTGATTAATCCTTGGGTGATTGTGTCGTCAAAGACATTGATTGGGATTGGGATTTGGAGTTGTTGGTGTTTTGTTTCCCTGTTTTTTTATTTCTCTAAAGTGAACATATATGTATGGTGATATGATAAACTGGCTGGTGTTGTCTCCTACGGTGTAACGATGCAAAACTGAAACTAAACAAATACATTTTGATATAGCGACAGTTGTGTACTGTACATGACACGCTCCTTCGGGCACGACCACCGCTTCTATCTATTAGAAAATCACCAAAACAAGAAAACACGGGCCATAAATCTTCTGCGTCTCCTTAATTCTCTCGCTCGCACTCTCTCAATCCACGTTCATGAGCTCCCCCTTTTTACAGAGAGTTGCGGCTCATGTCCGCACGGATACGGTTGTAGTCGAGGACGGCCTCGATGCTGCCGACAGCGCTCATGGCAATGTCCTGATCCCAAAGCTTGCGGGAGGCGAAGTCCATGACATCCTTCTCGGTGATCTGGCCGATCGTGCGCTCGATGTCCTCGGGGCTGAGGCGGCGGCCGGTGGTGATGATCTGGCGACCAATGTCTTCGGCAACGGCGGTGGTGCCGTCAAGGGAGAGGAGGATGGAGGCCTTCAGCTGAGCCTTGGCGCGCTCAACCTCAGCGGAGGTGACGTTGTAGCTCAGGCGAGACCATTCACGGAGGGTGAAGTGGATGAGGTCCTCGAGGCGGGTGACGTTCTCGGAGGTCAGGTAGATACCCCACAGACTGTATACCAATCGATTAGCGAGAACCTTCAAGAACAAACAGTATATAACCTACCCAGTGTCGCTGTAGCTGGTGGAGAAACTCATGAAGCTGTTGGCAAGGCCGTGGTACTCAACGAAAGAGCTGAGCTTGCTGCCAAGGTAGGAGGAGTTACCCATGGCACGGTCCCAGTTACCGACGATGGCCTGGGTGACGAGAGCGGTGAAGTAGTCATCGTCCTTCCAGCTGACACCCTCGACGGCAAGGGCGATGTGGGCAGTGGGGAGAGTGTCGTCACGGATTCTGACCTCGGAACCGATGAACTCGGGGATACGCTTCTGCTCGGCGGTGAGGGCCAGGGCAGCAGAGGTCGGGGGCTTGCTGGGGAGGCCACCGAAGTGCTCCTCAGCGAGTCTCACGAGCTGCTCGTGGGGGATACCACCGGCACCAACGAGGACCATGCGGTCAGCAGTGTAGTTGGTCTTGATGTAGTCGACCAGGTTGTCACGGGAGATGGTCTGGATGTTCTGCTTGGGGCCGAGGATGGTGCGACCAAGGGGCTGGTTCTGGAAAGCAGTGGCGTGGAGGTGGTCGAAAACAACCTCCTCGAGCTGCTTGTCGACCTCCTCCTGCTCACGGAGGATGACGTCGCGCTCACGCTCAATGGCAGTGGGCTCCAGCTTGGAGTTCTGAAGGATATCGGCGAGGATGTCGACGGCCTTGGGGACATCGTTGTTGAAGGACTTGGCGTAGTAGACGGTGTTCTCGCGCTGTAGTCATGCGGCGTTAGTTGCGATCCAAGGGAATTGATTCTTCCATGTTTCCGGGCCGTACCGATGTGTAGGCGTTCAGGTGAGCGCCCATGTTCTCGATCTCGAGCTCCAATTGGTGCTGGGAACGCTTGTTGGTGCCCTAGAGGATGTCAGCAATCGCATTTTCCAGTCTTCAATTTGCAGTCTATCCATACCTTGAAAGCAAGGTGCTCCAGGAAGTGCGCGGTTCCGTTGGTCTTGTCAGTCTCTGCCCGGCTACCGGCATCGATCCACACGCCAACAGTGGAGGTCTGAGCCCATGGGGAGTACTCAGTAGCGATCTGGGGCAAGTCAGTGAATTCCTTGAGCCATTGAGATAACCCATTCGGCGTACCGTGAAACCGTTGGAGAGAGTGGTGGACTGGGTGGTGGAAGGCAAGGTGACCGGGGAAGCGAAGCCACGCTTGACGGGCTGGATGGCCTTCAAGGCGGCCTTGCTCCGGAGAGCCTGGTTAAGGTTGAACGCTAGGCGCCGAGAAGCCATTGTGTGAAGATGGAGGTGGGTTGGGGGAAAGGAGGGAGGAATGAGGAAGGGTGCAACAAGACGGTCAGGTCAGCCCTGGAGATGCGAGGTTGAAGTTCGGGAGTCAAATTGTTCGCCCATCCGCCAGCCAATCACATGACCCGCTTTTCCAAACCACCGCATTCGCTCCGACTGTTCCCTAGCTTCTTTTGCTTAGACAGTTGTTGCTACTAGCACGGTCTGGAGACCGCCATTCAAAAAGTGTACAACATCAGTTAAATCCAAACAGGGTCTATACTCATCAAATGACATCAACAATCAGATACCCATCTCCTACTTTGATCCTCCTCACCATAATTACTACTTATCACATGACTCCACTAGACCCAAAGCAGTTAACCTCCATACAATGAGTCCCAATACTTCCATTACTACCATCATCACCACTAAATACAGCCCTACTCACTCCCCAAACTCTTCGCATACATCTCCACATTCTCCCTCATTGACACGTCACCCACAAACCCCAACTCCAACGCCCTCTTGGTATCAAAATTGGGCGTCCACGTCTGCACAATACGATCAATATCCGCATCATACCTCTCCTCCACCAACTCCCTCCTCTCCTTTCCACCAATACTCTCCAACGCCTCCAACATCTCCGCAATACTAACCTTCAACCCAGGCAAGTTGACCGATCTCGAATCCCCAAAGTTCTCCGCCGGAATCTCCCTCGCCTTGACCAAATTCCTCACCACCGTCGCCGGCGAACAAATCCACATCTCCGTCTCCTTAGCAACCGGCAACACCGCAGGCCGGCCATTAAACGGCTCCCGAATAATATCACTCGCGAAGCTACTCGCCGCCTGTGTCGGTTTTCCCGCCCTCACGGTAACAGTGGGGAGACGGACGGCACGACCATCCAGGAACCCGCGACGGGAGTAATCATTCAGCAGCGTCTCAATGATGAGTTTCTGAGATCCGTACGATGAGGACGGCACGGCGGGGAAGTTACTCTCATTGATGATGTAGCCTGGTGGTGCAAGGCCGTATACTGCTAGACTGGAGGTGAAGACGACTTTGACGCCGGGAGTGACGGTGCGGAGGCGGTCGAGGATGTAACGGGTTGCGTCGAGGTTGACGCGCATGCCTAGTTCGAAGTTCGCTTCAGATCCGCTGGACATGATACCGTGGAGGAGGTAGATGGTGTCGTAGCGGTTGGTGGAGGTGATGAGGCTGTCGACTACGCTTGGGTTCGTGAGGTCTGCTTCGATGCATTGTGCGCGGGAGGCATGCTGGGCTGCGCTCTTGGGGATCGTGGGGAGAACAACGTCCGTGAGTGTTACTGTCGATGATGGGAGGGTGGTGAGGAGGGCTGCGGCGAGTTCTTGTCCAACGTAGCCGCTGGCTCCGGTGATGAGTATGGACATGTTGTAGTCGTAGCTGTAGTTGTAGTTGTAATTGACGTGTGTTGGGAGTTGCCAGCTATGTGGATTGCTGCAGACTGGCTTTTTGGGGGGGTAAGTGATAGTGATGTCGCATTATATGACTTCTTATATAGTAAAGGCAGTCAGCCTACTGCGGGGTTGAGCGGAGACTTGAGAACCACTACTGCGAATGCAGTCATTCATTTGCCTCATCTCCAAGCCAAAGTCCCTCACACATCTTGAAATTGCTCAAAATGAAGCCTCTCATTAGCCCAGCATCATGGATCCACGCAGCAAGTCCGATTAGTGGAATTTATTGAGGCATTTCGGTCTGTTCTCCGCTGGACGGTCCGAGTGCCGAAATGTGGGCAGAAAGCGGATGGCCGGGGGAAGTCCGAGATGGGGTCAACGTACGATGGGCTATGGGTATTGTCTAGCAACACTACACGTTGTATTACACAAAAGGATGGTGAATCATTGACCAGCTTAATTAGCAGCTAAACTCTTGAACGACCAGAAACCGTAAACCTCGAAATTTTCTGACTCAAGAAGTACATCTAAGAAACCTGGACATGAGGACACACAAGGAAAAAATTCGAAGAAAATTGCAACAGATCACGGAACACTCGACGCCGTAAAAAGGGGAAGCATAAGTAATTATGACATGAGAGAGACAAAAGAGCAAAAACCACCGGATTCTTTTTGTTTCTTAAATTCATGCAGAGCGCTTGTAGATACCAGACACTATACAGTGGTCACGTTCGAAAGGCTCCAGGGTCAGCTGTTCCCTGGGCTTGATCCTCTCCTCTCTCATCTTCTGGACTTCACGAGCGAACACAACCTCGGGCTTGGCGGTACTGTCGATACAGTTGGCCTTGACGGAGACAATGACACCACCGCCCTCCTTGAGGAACATGTGGGCGTTCAGGCCGACAATACGGGCCTGGTCAGGCTGGGCAACATCGGCGAAGATGACATCGACCATGGGGACGAGCATGCGGTAGCGGAGAGGGTGTCTGGCGTCCTCGACAATGGGGATAACGTTGGTGCGGTGGGTAGCCATGCCGATCAAGTCACGGCCGGAACGGTGGGAGAACTCAACGGCGTAGACGTTACCAGTAGGTCCGACGATATCGGCAACGTGACTGACGGAGGTACCGCTGGCGGAACCGAGATACAGGACCTTGGAGCCAGGGCGCATGTAGATGTCATCCAGACCACCCAGGATACCGGCAGCCAACTTGGAACGGAAGGGGTTCCAGACACGGTATTCGGTCTTGGTGACAGTGCCATCCTCCTCAGCGGGGGACTCGACAGAAATGCGCTTCTCACCGTAGACGGCCTCTCCGGGAGTAAGGTTCTTGGTGACGAGCAAATCTTCCTTGCCACCACGGGCGACGAAAACACCAGCGTGACGGTGGGGTTCCTATGCGAAATCCTGTTAGATTCCACCCAATTTCTTTCTTCTCGATTGGATAATCAGGGAACACCTACAATGATGACCTTAGCACCACCCTTAGCACCCTTAGCACCACCGCGACCACCGCCGCGAGGACCACCACGGCCACGGGGGGCACCACGACCACCGCGGGGAGCACCACGGCCACCACCGCCACGGCCACGACCACCGGCACCAAGACCGCCTATAGAACGTGAAAAGATTAGCGACACGTTCTGTTTTTTCCTTAAGAGGGAGAACCGCAAATCCAGCACGCGATTCGGGTCGACCGTATGAAAACTTGATGTGCTCTTGGAGAAGACAAAACTTTTCCATCGCAACATGCAGAATCCAACTGATTCGACGACAACAATGCGAACAGATCACATAGACCCGCATGTCTTCCACGTTTCTCCCAAGATAAAATCAATCGATGGTGAACAAACCTCTACCACCACGGCCACCACCACCTCCACGAGGAGCACCACGGCCACCGCCACGTCCACCACGAGGGCCACCGAATGCCATTGTGATATATGTGATTTAGATCGGAAAAATGTCGATAAAGACGTAAAGTCAAATGCTGTCAGTCCAGAAAAGTTATCGGACTGATGCTTCGATTCTTCGGTTGCGGTATAACCGGAGAATAGGAAAAAGAAAAATTGGCAAGGAAGGCCCGTTCGGGAGAAGGAAAATCCGAAATTGTCGAGTCTCGAGGACCTTGAAGAGAAGCTTTTGCAGAAAAAATGCACCCGCACTGGCGTTCAGTGTTCGGTCGAGGCCGTGCTGTTCGTCGTTGTTGCGGTCGAGATTTTTCAGACGGAGCCTTGGATTCTTTCGAAATTCAGTCGGCACTAGGCCCCGTTGGGTGCTAGCGCGGCTTGCTGCTGTGGGCACTCAAGGCACGTGACAATGCTGGATAGCGAGGTCACCTGACGCTGGCCAGCCCTGCCAATCGGAAGGCGCATCGCTCTTCTCTGACAACTCGGCGCTTAGGACTGACCCTCAACAGTTGCAGAATTGACAGCTACGCTACCTAATGGGCCAGGATTACGCGCTACTGATTACTTTAACATGATGTATAGTGTACCTGTCATGAAACATTTCTTCAGTTACGTCTATTTACAGTGCAACTGCTCTGTACCCCACCCCCCATCATGCACCATAGAAATAATAGTTGGCCGCATACTGCACAGTAAACACCGACTGCATTCCTTGACAGGTCTTCGGGGCTGAACCGGCAACCGTGTCTACTCGATAGACCGCTTCGTACTCACCGACGGTACCGTTGATAGTAGTCAGGTACAGCCATTGGACAGCCCCATTGCTACCCTGAATAGCACTTGACGGAGCATCGAGCGAGTCTTGTTTCTTCGTGATCGCAATCCCATACTGCCGAGATGCCAAAGTATCCAGGTTAAAAACTGGTGTGGTCGTATCTCTGAAGAAATGATGACCCAAGAGTTCAAGGTTTGCCGGCGGGAGAGGTTCCTCCTCGTTACTGGGCAACTGTTCCTTGTACACTATACCCGGGAGTAACGACAACATGTCTGGGTAATTGGCCGCGATGCAGGTTGCATTGTAAAGACGCGCCACTGCACCTATGGCTTGGGGTGTTGAGCTCGAGGTCGAAGTGGCACAGGTGTAGTTCTAAGGAGAGGGCTTGTCAGTTTGAGCGGTTCTCCCCCTGCATTGTTTGTGTGACAGTAGGCGGGTCAGTTTCCGCTTACCTGGGTGCCACGGCCCACTGCCACATAGATTGGGCTCATCCCGGACGGTGAGGGCAGGCTGGACGCGTATGACGGGAGGGAGATTTTGGATGTGTCGCATGAGTTGCCGCTCTTGATGAGCTCTTCTCCCGTGCTCTCGATGTACTTGCTCACTTTTCCGAGGTAGGTGGCTAGGTCTGACGAGTAGTCGTATACGTCGTTTAGGAGAGTTGGTGCTGCCATGGAGCCTGCTGTCAGGCAGCCCAGAAGAAAGAGGCTTGCACGCATTCCGGATGCTTGGTACAAACGTGATGTTCTATTTGGAAGAGGGTGGCAGGATCAAAATAGCATACACTGTATGCGAGGATAGAATGAAGTTCAAGGATGGAGAAGTCGAGAGGAGGGAGGTTCTAACGCCGACGGGTCTCTCTTAAGAAGAATAGCAATCGTGAAGAGTTGAAGGAGAGGAAAGGAAGAGATGAGCTCTCTCCCCTGAGATGAACTAACTATTGGATGGCTGGGGACCTGAAGAGAAGAAGAGAAGGATGCATCCAGCTGGACGAAGGGCTATATAAGAATTATTTCCAACAGACCGACAGCCACAAGAAGAAGGCTTGCATGTGCAATCAAACGCAGTACCACACCGGCCTCTTGAAACCCATAATGTTGTATCTATAAACAGCCTCGACTCACAGCAAGCCTGAAGGCGCCCACAGCACGCACAAGCAATGCGATCATCCCATTGGTGCAAGAATGGGCGCCAGGCATGAATCCTTCACGCCTCCAAAAGTGCCGAAAGTAACGGTATACGAGGGTGGGCCACGCGAAACACGGTCGTCTATCCTGGCGACTATTTCTGCAGAAGATAGAGTCGTTGGCGCGCCATGATTGGTATATCGAATGATCGAAGCCTTTTCGACTAACCCTGTCTAGTGACAAGGTTTCATTGGCGCCGACAGTTTAAAAAATGTCCGATCGCCTTTCACCGGCTATTAATAGAGCAGCCCTAATATCTCACCGTGAGGGGTCGGCGCTTAGCTTACTAGAAGCTTGCCAATGCCGGTTAGCCTGCAGATTCCCGTCCACACTCCCCCATGAACAACTTGACGACTACGAGTCTATCTATCCCACCCCCCAAGGGTGTGTGTATCCACAGTATGATTTGGCAAATCGGCGATCGCTGTAGGGGCTGGTTATTTTTGGAAGATCCTTTCACAACAGGGATTATCAGGACTTATTATAAGAGAGGCCTGTGCTCGACGCTTAGCTACGCTTCTAGTGTAGGGCAACGGCTGTTATCTTGGATTTGACCATTTGTTGAAGTTGAACTTGGGCTTATCATTGCCAATGCTAAACAGATGTGTGATGCAACGTGCGTGGTCAGTCTTGTTCCTGAATCGAAGCAGGTACTCATCAGAATTGACGTACTAGACAACCTCGTGGAGATACCACCCGCCACCCCCATACAGCACATGCCAGACGCAGGATGGCCCATTCCCACTCTGAAATAGTAGGCTCAATCCTGTCGACAGGGATTATAGATTAAGCGGCATAAAAATAGGAACGGTAGACTCTATACCGGCTAAGTAAGGTTACTAGTCGCAATCTCGAAGCATCTCACGTCACAAGATCTCTATTCTGAGTCTCATGGAAGCTACTGCCGATCCTAATTCCCTCTAAACTCGAAAGATACAACCAATCATAACATCAGAGCATGCAGAGATAACCAAGCTTCTGAGAAAGCACACTGATACTCGTTCTTGGAAGCTCCACCAGAAGGCCAACCCCACGGCTTGTTGATGCCTGGAGATCCCCTCTCCATCAAAAGCAATTCTGCCCTACCACAGATGAGTTGTCCTGACCAAAAGTTCCTCTAGGCACCTACTAACCCATAGATCAGAACAGAGTCTGTGCTAATAGTACGTCTATTCCCGCAACGGCCGTCTTTGGCCCGAATGCAACCCTCTTATCATGTATAGGACGGGCTCTCAGACATCATCAGCGGCACATTCCGCTTTTCCTGAGTAGCCTCTCCAAATAGCGGAGTCAGTCTCGCTTCTGCAGTCATCGCACGACTAGTTCTGACTTCCGGTGTGATACCCTCAAGCCTGCAGCAGAGTTGTCACCGTCTCCGCGACGGATCATCAGCTCCTCGGTCACTTGAACCATCTCCGAAACAGCGAAAAGTCCTCGCTTCCCTGCTAAACCCCACGTAACATGCGCTATTTTTCGGGGATAGATCCTCTTGTGACTTCGCGTGCATACATAGTGTGGTTTTCTGGATCCATGGCTCGTAGAGCTTTCGGTCTTCGGCCTTGCCGTCTACGTGAGGAGGACTTTGGCTATCATGCGTTATTTTTTTGCATTTCGTGGAGTGTCAGCTCCGTCTGTCCGTGTCGGATTAGGGATTGATGTATTCATGTTGCTATTTATGTAGATTAGTGATGTCACCGATCTGTAGGACTGAGAATAAGGGGATGCTTACTCGGATAAAGCGGGTAAACGGTTCTAGAAGGTAGTATAGAGGTTGGAAGTAGTATACTGCTAAAATAGAGAGACATGAGAGTAGATGGAACCTTTTGTTCTTTGCATAGAACATAGTACTAAACTAATCCGCCACTTCCAAACACACCCTGTGTAAAAACACATTAGTAACTTGGGAATAAAATCCTTCTGTAAAAGCCAAGAAAAGAACTAAAACCATACGCCATGCGGATACGACGGAAGCTCTCAATGTTCGCCCCTTTCCTTCATTCTCGACTGAGTAGTTGATCCGCTCGAGGTCTATGGGCGGAAGGTCACACGCGGTTTGCTGAACCATCGGGGCTATTCTGTGCTTTTCAGGAAGCCGATAATCTGGAGGAAGTTCCATAATTCATTGTGATTGTCTTTTACTTCTTTTGCTATGTCTTTTCTGTTTCCGTGCCCGTGTAAACTACTTGTCCAAATCCCTGTTCTTGGCATTTGTCTAGGACTTTTCCGGTTTCATTCTTCCAGTCATCACTGGTGGTAAGTCCAGATACTCCCGCATGTTGTCCGGGGATCTCGGACAACATATGGCCGATAGGAGCCAATTGTCAGCTTCTTGGCACTTTTCCAATCCTATTCAAAGCTCCTGTAAGTGGCATCTAGTCCTTGTAATGAATAGAGCATTCTTCCGAAGAATGGTGGCACTTTGCTAAATGAGATTCCATTGGCGGAGCCCATAAAGTAATGATTCCTTTGCAAGATACCTACCTCGAAATACCATCACAAGGTGGCCCTCGAATCATAAGGCTGTCAAGGTTTTAATTAGGCGGCTACTACACAACTGGGGGGCGCCCCTTCAATGGACTACTCCCAAATCCATTGTACCTGTAAATCGACATTATTATTTGATGATTCAGCTTGTTAGAAAAGCTGTAGCATATCGGGTGGAGCTCAGCCGGGTACATTTGAATAATCCGCACATCCCAACGCGGCCCATGTGCGGTCATTGTGATAATCGATGTTCAATCACAGTAACAGGACGACCGACGTCTCCAACGGCATGTCAATCCTACTAGCAAATGACACCTTTCAACGGCAATCAGACTATGAAGTATTGCCAAATGTACGCCGAAAGTGCATCAACAATTTCGCTTTTCTGAAATTATCTGGTCATCCATGACAGCTCATAGGGACTATAGAAAGGCTTATGTGTATACACATGGAGCTTGATGTCGGAACTTTTCGTAGGAAATAGCGGTTATCGGTTCGGTTGCTCCACACTCTGGCATCATTCGTCTCGTTAGATCTCAGTTGACTTTATTTAGAAGGAATTTGAAATTTATTAGGTCATGCGAAAATTAAAACCCGGTTTGGCAGGTTAGGGTCAAAGGGTGTGTCCTTCCTCCCAGGTGTCCTGCTGGGATAATAACAATCCCACAACACTTCCTTGATCCTACCACAGTCCCTTCTATCATCTATCGCAAATAGAATCCTCGCTCTCATTATCTTCATGACTTATTATTAGTGACTCGTTTGTCATCTACCCAGAACGTCGTTGTCTCCTCAACGGACGGTTCAAGCCCAAATCTGCTCAAGATGGCAGGCGAATGGTTTCGACGGACCCCTGCCCGGGAGAATATCGAGGCAAATGATCGTGAGGAAGCAGGACAAGTTCGCACCGAAGATGAGAGCATTGAAGGTGAGTTACCCGACATCTCCCATTTGAAGCAGCGGACCAAAGCCATTTCAAGCATCTAGAACGGAGTTTTGTGAAAGCGACGAGTCATTACCATTATCGGAGTCTACTTCTGGGCTAATGAGACGATACCGCATCGTCACGGACTTGAGCAACAGACTTATAGAAGCTAGACCCAGGGTTGTCTTTCGGGCACACTACGTTGTGCCCGGGTTCGAAAACGCCCTTCCACTCTTAGACAGCAAGGCGCCTGATTCCAATCACGTCTACGGTCTCATACACTTTCTGAAACATGGCGAACCTGCTTGGACTTCTGACGGTTTTGAACATGAAATGAGCAAGGTGATATCTGCGTATTATCGCTGTGCCAAAGAGGGGCGGAGTAAAGGTTCATGGGTGATGGACTATGTTCGACCGCTCTTAGACTTGGCTATCGATGATCTGCCCTTGGAATCGTGGAGCGTGTAAGCCACCGTGCACAAGTCGCAGCAAGAATTTTGAAGCTAATAGACTCGGTTGCAGGCAAGCCGAACCTGTGAGAGACAAGTATCTGCCTGCTCATAGTGCGAGAGAGATGTTCAATCATAACCTTGACTTAGTCGTTGGTCTACCGAAAGAGCCTTGGAAAGAATGTTATAGGCTCGCCGGGATAGATATCCCTGACCGAGAGATGAGTCACATCGAGCATGCGCACACAGGGAAAAGACTACTTGGCCTCGGTGTTAAAGTCAAAGGACTTAATGGTACTAGTGCTGAAGCTCGAGTACAATTGGGAGTATGGATGGCTGGTCTAATGTCTTGGGCTCATGATTCTTATCGACATGTCTGCCCGGGTATTCCCCCTCCACCTATTATCGGATGCACAGTGGTGGGGCCTATCTGGAAGTTCTACATAATATATGCGATGGGTTGTTCTTCTGGGGCGTTAAAAGATGTGGTACGCTGATTCATAAGTTTATTGCTTTGTATTCATCTTTGAACTGACATCTGCAGTATGTCTGGGGTCCCATTCCCGAGCTCGAGGGGGATGCCACAAGCCGAAAATGCATGCTTGAATTTGTCATCACCCTGAACCGTGTCATGAAGTATATCCGCAGGGATTATGCGCCGCTAATGTTTGGTCGCCTTAACTTGAATCTCTGACGAGCCGAGTCTCACGCTGGTTCCATTTCCTGTCCCTTCATGGCGAAATTTGCCACGGCCATGTTGACTGGAGTCTAAATATCTCTTTTAGCTAGTTAATTTATATCGTATTACTCGCTCAGAATCTCAACGGTTGCTTCTTTCTGGAAATTCGGAGCAAGACTGACCGTCTTAGGACAAGGTACAAGAAGAGATGAATGGTCGGGGGTGGCCTAATCCATATCAACACCACCTTATTTCAACTATTTACGGAGCGTTCCATCCTCCCAGGAAACATTGAGGCATTGCATCATTATCCTCCTAATCCTTTTGATCTTCACCTCAACACTATTGCATACCTTTGCGCTCCGGAGCTAGCTTCCGCATTTGGTAGTACTTTGCGAGGTGCATAACCAGAGAATTTTATGGTGTGTTAGTCAGCTTGCTTAATTTGCATATCTAATCATTGCGATGTGTAGTATGTTGCATTCTACCTAATTTTTTGTTACGAGAGAAGTATTTGGTAATTAGGTGGTTCTACATTCTATCTGGGTTCTATCGTGATGTGGTATGATATGATAGATAGCCGGTAGAGCTAGTATAAATGGAAAGACCATTGTTTCATTGCCGCATTGTATGTATCCCCCTAGTCTACATACATATATTGGAGTGTTCTGATATACAGATGGCTAGTCTCACGCAACAGAAGTCGTCTCAGCCGAAGCCATCTTATGAAGCGGAAAATTCCTAGGGTCACTGTCCTCGTTGTAAGTATGGGCGGATTTCCACCGGCGACGTAGGAGCGTAAATACAATCAAGGAGATAATTGCAATCCCGGCGACGGCAGAGCCGACACTAATGCCTGCGATAGCGCCTTTGCTGAGTCCGGAGCTGCCGGAACTAGAGCTAGTGGATGTCGCAGCTGAGGTGGAACTGCTTGTGGTTGTGCTGGATGCGCAGATAGATCCGCGCCATTGGTGGAAGGTGCCATCTTGGCCGGCACAGTCCCTGGGTTTTGTTAGGCTTTTCGGCTGGTAATGGCTCGGTAGGGGAGGGGAGGGGATGGGGTACGGACGAGAAGATACAGTCCTGGGTTTGGGTGGCGAAGGAATCCGAGTCACAATAACAGGCAGTGTTGTTGCTGGGTGTTGAGGTTAGCTTTTGTGGGTTGCGAAGGGGGGTGTAGGAAGATGTGGGTACGTACTAGTTGCTAGACGAGCAAACACCACCGACAGTGTCGGCGGCTGTAGACTGGCACTCTAGGATGCAGCTACTCAGGGTTATGGTTGAAGTCGAGGCAGCTGCAGTTGCGGTGGTGGTAGCAGAAGATCCTCCGCACTGTGAGCCACGATAGGTGTGGAAGGATCCGATATCATCCGAGCAGCTCCTTGTATGTGTTAGCATGTATAAACGGTCACACTAAGCGTGGTTTGTTCGTACTTTTCCAGGCAGGATTGAACATCAATGGGGAAGTTACCGTTGTTGCAGTAGCAGCTGGTCTGGTTGCTGTGCGTTGATTATGAGATGCTTGCTCGGAGAAGCAGACGTAACTGTATTCGACTTACTAGTTGCTGGTGCTGCAGTCGCTTGCAGCAGCCTCGGCTTGGCAGTTAAGGATGCACTCACTCAATCTTAGCGCTGTCAGTATAGGCACAGAGTCAACTGTGGCAACTAGATGATACTCACCCATTGACCGCCGAGACAGCCCCGAGGAGTAGAAGTGAGATAGTTAACTTCATATCGGGGAATACTATGTGGTCTATCCTGGAGGAAGAACAACCAATTGTCTAAAGAGGAGGGGGCAAGGCTATGAACTCGATGAACAAAACGAAGAAGTTGTTCGAAGTAAAGTGCTCTGATACCCAATTCCAAGTCGTTCTGAGGCCGCTATATAGTGCTCATTCTCGGAAAGAGCAATCCGGAAGCGAGGCCATCGTGGAGCTCCGTCTCGCACCCCCTCATCTCTACAGCCAATGTCAATTGACATCCTATATTGCATCCAAGACACGGGTCAAGTATGGAATTCTGGGCATCCGTCATGCGCTGCACAGCTGTACGGAGAAGGAAGATGCCAGTGAAAGTGGTGTGAGCTCGTAGACTTCCCAACCGAGATATGAAAGGACCAGCATCAATTGCAGGGGTATCCTATATGCGGTCAGATGTGGTTGGATGAATTGGAAGGTATGCCAAGCGCAGGATGATAGTACATCAGGGCTGAGTGGGACTGGCGAGCCAACCCACGAGACACCTGGATCAGATAAGATAAACCAGCTGTTTAAATTGGCCCGGAACATCAACTCCGATGCACGGTCAGCATTGAGTTCCCTTATAGAGAGCCATTATATCCACGGATTGCTGCCGGTCGTTCCGATTTTAGCCAACAACGTCCCCCGCGACCAAGTGGGTCAATAATTCCCGGGTTGATGTATCCCCTGCCGACCGAGGTTGGCATCCGATGCATTGTACCCTTGATATCGTTATCTCCGAGGCCCGATTCTGCTTCCCGATTCTTGGATGGGACCGCGAGAGACCGAACGGACCACCCGGCTAATCCGCAGGCAAGATGCCTGTTGCCTGTCTTATGTGCCGTGATGGCGACATGAAGTGACATGCTCCAACCTATGGTCGGGTAATGCTCCCAATACCTCCATGTGACTCTATAGTCGAAGCGCTTATTCACATTTCCCCTTTATGTCTCTGCCTTCAGCTGTGTGAAGTGGAGACCACGTCATCCCGGGTTTCTGCCCCTGAGAGACCCAAATCCGATCTACTTCATAAGGAGCTTGGCATGACTTCTATTTCAACGGGGGTTTCCTTTCCTGAAATATTGCCTCAGGCATCCAGGTGGTGGCTATTCGACAGTCATGAAGCTCGATACCAAGCGGCTAGCTTGGGCTTTATTGCCATCGACAGTGGCATCTAGCCCATTTCCAGCCGAAGAACGACTTGCTGTGCCAGATGGCTCTACTTATGCCAATCACATCTTCAATGCTCTGCATAACTCCATGAAGATGTTCGGCAGCGTCATGCAGCACAACGGGATGTCCATCTTCATTGCCACGGTACCTGAAGGAACGGAATTCTACCACGGTACCTCCAGTGCATATCGTATCAACGGAACTGAGTGGCTGGCTTTTGAGCCGGAGCATGCCATGGCTTTTGCCCACCCTAGTCGGATTCGTCATCAACAACCTTCTAAGGCTAACAACCCGCCACTTGACGATGAGGAACGGGGCAGTACGGAGAAAAGCCATGATAAGAATTGGAAAGGGTCAGTTAAACATGCAAATGATTTCGAATCGGAAACTGGCAGCTGGGTGCAAGATCATGCTCGGCACCGCGAACATGTGAAACCATATCGTGCAGGTTCTCGCGATAAGCATCATAAAGAGTCGGTTCACCAGCAATGTGGCTCTGATTCGGACAACAGCGGCTGGACTCAGGATCATACCCGGCACCGCGAACATGTGAACCCATATCGTGCAGATTCTCGTGGTCACGCAAAACACCACAAGCTTGACATGACTACTGAAAGCACGGCTCACCGAGGCCTCTTCACTCGCCAATGGAAGAGATTGCAGTCAATGGTTCATTATTTCCTAACAGATCAAGGAGAACCCCAGAGATTGGCTGTGGAAAGTCTCAGCTCGCAAGCTCTTCCTAAATCTCACGATGGTCACCATAACAAGCCTGGCCACCAGAGTCAGTCAGACATTGAGGAGCATCAAGAACAGTCATCTTCCAAGCCCATCGAACCTACAGCTGAAGAACAGACAGGATATTTCCACACCTATCGCACTAAGCGTGAACTACGTCTAGTCTACTTCGATGGACAGTCGGCTGCAAAATCTCTCAAGGGTACCCTCGACATGCAGGATATAGTCCTTCGAAACGCATCCCTCTTCGATGGCAGCCCAGCAGAGGGTGACAACCTGCGTGCCGAAGATCTGTGTGCCATGGCCCGCGATCAGTGGGACAATCGTGTTGACGGATTCATTCGAATGGTCGGTGGCTTCGAGGTTATTCTCTGCTCTTTCGCCGATAACCTCGACGTTGTGAGCATCCTCAGCACCTACCCATCGCGCAATGGCGACGGAGGATCCCACCTCAGCTATGCCCGGGCACTTGCTACCCGATTCGACGGCATCGGAGGTGGCAGGGTGTCCATCAACTACAATGACTTTGTCACGATGTTCGCATACCCGGACGCAATGTACTTCGACGATCAGGGCCTTCCTCGGGTGGTCGACGATGCTGCAAAGCTGGGATCAGTGCGCGCACACATTGACCGACTAGTTAAAGGACCTGACGCGACAACCCCTAGTATTAACTGGCAAAACGTCGTCGACATGATCATGACCAGATACCAATACCGCATCAGTCTGGCATTGTCTCCGGCCATTTCCACTCACCATGAACTTCGACGTGAGCTCCACCTCGCTATTGAGCCATTTATCGACGCGCGTGCGCGCAACTCGACTGCGGAGGTTGAGCGCTGCGCCAAGCAGTTCTGGGTCTCTGGCGCTGATACTACCACTGTCCCAGCTCAAGCAGTTTCTCGGGTCTCGGAGCGATTATGCTCGAGTTTGGTTGCTGGCGCGAGCGCAGAGACTTATGAGGAGGGAATTGCAATCATTGAGGAGCTAAAGCACTACTTGGATTGGGCGGTCTTCAGGGAGTGCAATAAGTGCAAGATAGACGAGGTTTGTCAGCTCCCTATTTGGCCCTCTGGCTCCAAGGAGGATTTCGTTCGGCCGCGGTGTGGTACCGGTCTGGCTCATGGCTCGGGTGGCTATTGGGACATGATGGGCAAGATCCGTCAGCATTAGTATGATCCTATTGTTGTGCTTAGGACCGAGGAGGCTGGTATGGGTGGCTCTTGAGTACATCGCATCGCGCTTGGTATTCTCTGCAGTTTCTCAATCTTATTGAATGTTGTCTGGCTGTGTCGTTTCGTAGACTTGGCTATTACTGGGTGGACGCCCAATGACGCAACCCTACTATGCATATGAGGTAGCTTCGACTCTCCAAGTTGGTTTAGGATGGGGTTGTTAATCGCGTGGTTCTTTTCGCGTTAGGTGTAGTTATTGTTCGGTTACAACACTAGTCCCAATTATGTTGTTGGGTGTGAGTAAACTCGCACGAGGGCCGATCATTGAAATTAGAGCAACACATCTACGATATCGATGAGGTGATATATGCCATTGTTGGAGTTCCACATTGAAATTCTGCACGGAATTGATGATAGTGTTCACAGGCTGAGGGAAGAATTGTGAAGAGTACTAAGGATCCATCCTTCCATAGTGGTAAGAGGAACGTCTTCCACAATATATATATTTAGCGACTCGCCCCTAACAAACGAGTGCTAACAGCAACCATCAACCGAATACACCGCTGAGCCATTATAGCTCGTGACTAACTATAGCCCGAGGGATGCCGAAGCTCAATAATGTGCAAACAGAGCAACCCCTACTTCCTCAGTTGTATAATTTGTATGACGAATGTCACGATAGGGCTACCTGCGCTCTGGAAACACATGACGTTAACTAAGACTCATAGATCTTAAAGAACGCCCGTGTTTCAACAAGCAACGCCCGGGTGGTCTAGTGGTATGATTCTCGCTTAGGGATACAAACCCAAGCATATCTGCGAGAGGTCCCGCGTTCGATCCGCGGCTCGGGCCGTTTCCTTTTTTCCTTTTCTCTTTTTGCACTCCCTATCGAGAAAAGGAAGAAAGGATGCAAGAAAAATAGATCAGTTAAGGAAACCACGTGCTACTTTCCTTATTACTCTTTCTTTTTCCCCCTCCTTCCAAAGCTCAGACCCGTGTAATATGCAGCTTGGTCAGCAGCAACACCCGTAGGAGCTGTTGTACCTCCGTACATTATTGCCCTGTACGGAGTACTGCATGTCACAAAATTTCTAACAGCTACGGCTCTAGTCGATCGAAGCACCCGAGTATCATATAGAAGTATTTGCATTATAGAACATAGGATATTCACATAGAAAAATATCAGCACAGATCGTAACCGCCAACCAACAAACGCCCTCGAATGATTCGTCGCTCCCAACGGGCTAGAATACAATGATAGTCATAAGATCAACCCGCGTGGTTGAAGCCTTCTTGCTGCCAATCGTCTCCATGGAGCTGCTGGCCCACGTAGCCGCCGCTACCGCTGCCCCCGCCGGCCATCGCAGCCGCAGCGGCCGCACCAAGGCTTGCGCTGCTATGCTTCTCGATCTCCATGGTACTCATCATATACAGCATGACGAAGATCAAGATGTGTAGAGCAAAGCAGTAGCCCGCGAAAAGATTCCGGCTCGTGCGGTTAGCGAGAATGATCCGGGTAAGGGAGAATACGATTCTCTCCGGTAGGCTCATGCGCTTGTATGCACGCGTAGACTCACGGCCCCGGAAGGCAGCAAATGGTGAGATCTGAGCCTCATACGCGGATTGGTACCGATCGAGGGAGAGCCCTGACGGCGTGTCCGCCGATGGGTGGATGGACGAGGCATTGGGCCTGCTTGCGTAAGCAGAGGCGGACGATGATGCGCCTGGGCCACGGTTGTATGTTGAGACATAGCGTGTCTTCTCATACAGGCTGAGGTTGTCTTTTTGCAGAGAAGCCACCTCTTGCCTCAAGGACTTCACTGTGCCGTACAGCTTCGACAGCTCTTCCTCCAGTTCAGCGTTCTTCTTCTTGAAACGATCACGCTGGGCTTGGATCATAGGCAAAAGACCGGAGCCGCCCCCAACTGGCTCTCCCGCACGGATGGAGTCCATCGTGTTGGCTGAAGCCATGGACTGGTCAAAGCCCGAGATGATGGACGAGGTGGGCGACACTGCGCCCTTGCGGGACGAGTGTGGGTACTTGGAGGTGTAGGTACCAGCAACAGACATCGCCGAGGACGGGAATGTGTTTGCAGCCTCCTCCTGTACACGGAGAAGATCATTCTCCAATGTGGTAGAGAGCTTCTGCGACTTCTCCAACTCCTCTTTCGTGGTGGAGAGATCCTCGCGGAGAGTCTCTAGCTGACCCTGAAGGTCGCGATGGGATACTCGTAGAATGGTGAGCTCGTCTGTCAGCTTCTTATTCCTGGCGAGCAAGAGCTGCTCCAAGCTATTTTTGTTCTTTGACCCATCCTGGGACTTGGTAGCCGCGCCGTTGGCGTTCGCAGCGTCTGTAAGATCGGCAGCATCGTCGTCATCACCAGGCGAGAACTCAATAGACTGGAACTGTCAGATAGCCAATCAGAATGGAAGGGTATTGAGATATTACCTTGATCATCTCCAGTTCCCGACGGATGTCTTCATAGTCAGCGACCTTCTCCAACTTTGAGCGCAATTCCTCTTTCTCAGCCGTAACACTTGTGATCTGCCTCTCAGCCTGAGAGTACTTGGACTCCCAGGTGTGTCGCTCAGACTCCTTGTCAAATCGTGCAGCTTCAAGTTTGCGCAAAAGGGACGAGTTCTCCGACTGAAGACGCAGGTAATCAGGGTCATCCTCGACGGACGCCGCGTGGCCCGATTGCGAGTGGGAGACGGCTTGAGCCAGCTCGAGCCTGAGTTGCTCATTTCTCGCCTCGACTTCCGCCAGCCTCAGGCCCGTCTTCTCCAACTCAGTCGAAACCAATTCGAGTTCCGCAGCGCTAGCTCCGTGGGTGCTCTCGCCGCCCTCTTCCTCCTGGCCCAAGCGTTGTGACACCTCATAGCTTGCCTTGAGCTCCTTCACCAAGCGCTCCTGATTCTCCACCTTCTCCTCCAGACTCTTCTCCTTGGCCGTCCAATTGTTCGTCTTCTCCGACAGCACCGCCGACCACGACTCCTCAACCTCCTTGATTTTAGATTCCTGGTTCTCCTCTAGCTTCTTCCTGGCCGCCCGTTCTTCTTGAAGGCGCTTCTCCGTATCCTCCAGCTGAGAGGTGAGACGGTCGACGGAGCCTTGCAGGCGATCACGTTCCGAGGTCAGTTTGGGGACGGTTTCTTCGGAATGGACGAGGGAATCGATGGATGCTTCAAGGAGAGGGTAGGGATCAGGCGCTTCGGACAATGATGAATAGAGCTGTAGGAAGGCGGACGAGGAGGCCTTGCCCTGGTTCGTGAGAAGATCGATGAACCCCTGGTAAGCTGTGAAATGTCAGCGACGGCCGGACGAATGCGGTTGGCACCCCACGAACCTTTCAGAAGACCCTTGTACTCGGCAAGCTTCGAAGAGTCATCTAGCTTCCTGAAGTCCTTGGTCTTCTGGGCGAGATCTTTGCGCTGGACGAGTGCATCGCGCTGCTGAGCGACGATGTCAGATGCGGTACTGTCTAGCTTTGCGACCGTACTGGCGAGATCGATACCTATATCAAGGAACTCGTTAGCTGCCGGCTACTTCGGCCCAAAATACTAAGATCGAGGCGACAAACCTCGCCAGGCCGCAATGGCACGCTGGAACTTGTTGGCTCCTTCCGGTAACTTGCCGGCGGCGGGCTCGGAGTGGTGACCATCCTGGCTATTGTCAGGGACAATGCCTTCGGTAAGAGCGAAAGCGTCCATGGTTGAGATTTGGGAATAATCCGCTTCAATGGAGCAAGAATCAGCGCAACACCCCCATCCAAGACCGGACCGGCAACACCACGACTATCCAGAGAGGGACAAGTAAATGAAGCCAGTTAATGTGAAACTACAGCAATGCGGAGTGACACGCCGACCGGGCCGATGATCTTCCGAAGACAACAATGAGCAGAGATGCCCAATCGCGTGACGAGATGGCGTGTATATGCAAGGAAGAGGTGTCCTCTTGATGACAAGACAAGATACTGATAGTCAGGATTCTAGTGAGTTGACGGTTCAAGATGAGATTCTCCTGGATCGATGCCGGTAGGTTCCTATCCGATCGTGGTTCAGCCCCGTTATTTATAGCAAACTTGGCCACGTTCGTCTCAGATAGGGCCTTTTTAAGGTAAGGATATGCTGAAGAGACCCCGAGTAAGCAGTGGCTTGAGATGTATCATATGTGCTGCCTGCAACCTAAAGTCTGCCTCGTCAGTGGTGATGAAGCAGCTGAAGCTGTCACAATTGCAGACAAGACGGCTGAATCATCAATACGCAGATCGATGCTTATACTTGCATCTAAACACAAGATTCGTTCAAGAAGACAGTGTTTATGAAGTAAAAGATTACTGACCATCAATTGCAGTTCTTCACAAGAGATAACTAGTTATAGTTAAAAGTGATAGACTGATAACCAACTAACTGCAATCATAGAATGGACTCCACCTGAGTCAGCAGATAACCCCGGGCGGATCCACCCGCGCCCAGCCTCGCCCGACTGAAGCTCCTCCCAGTTCCTGTCCTGATCTTCCTTCCCCTCACGTCCCCATCCTGTCAGGAACCATCTCTCAAGACACCGAGCTGGCCTCATCATGGTGTCGGAAGAGGAGGGCATCAGCCCGCGCAGAAGGCGGAAGATTGGCCCTCCAAAAGCTGCACCTTATGTGTTCCGGTCTCTCTTCGACCAGGTGCCCTTGAATGCGGACAATGATGACGATGAAGTCCACATCACCTGCGTCGAGTATTGGAGTGCGTCCAGCATTGTTGATGGGAGAGCGAAGCTAATTGGATGATTTCTAGATGACAATCTATACATTGGTACCTCTGCCGCCGAGATCCTACATTTCGTCTGCCTCCCACCGGACCCCTCGGACAAGTCGAACGAGCCGTCATTCATCCTCGCCTCAAGACTACCAATCCCTTTCTCCCAGCCTCCGTCAGCAAAGCTTCCGGGTATACAGCAGATTGTGTTATTGCCAACGGTGAACAAGGCGTGTGTGTTATGCAATGGGACGGCTACATTCTACATGTTGCCGGAGCTCAGTCCGGCCTTCGGGAACACCAAGGTCAACAACTGTCGCTGGATCGGTGGGCTGGATTTGAATGCAACGGATGAGTCGGAAAACCCCGTTATCATGATCGCCGCCCAGAATCGGATGATGTTGGTCAGAATTGGCGATGATGCTCGACGGATAAGGAACATCGAGTTTCCTGGCTGCCTGGTGGCGGCGCGGAGAGGCATAATCGCCTGCGCTGCTGATACACATGCGTACTCTTTATTGGACGTGGAAAACCAACAGAAGATCCAGCTCTTTCCTGTCTCATTTTCCAGCGAGGCATTCGACTCGGGTCCTGCCGGAGACAGATCTCCGTCGTCACCCTTCGCAACCTCGCCGCTGGAGAGCCAGCATGACAGAGGATCCGGTCCGAATCCGTTCACCGGGATGCTGCAGCCAAAGACTCATACCTCGCCACATGACAGGTCTAGCTCTGTTACGCCGGAGCTGTCTCCTGCTGGAACCCCGCGACAATCGATCTCGAAAGACCGAGCCGAAAGTGCTTCTCCGAGGATATCTCCAACCCACTCGACCCGGGACTCCCAGTCAAGTCCCGATGACCGAAAACCCCTCCCACCCATACCTAAGCCGCACACACAGTTGAAGCCTCATGTGCTGTCGCCGACCTCGTCGGAGTTTTTGCTCGTTAGAGGAACCGATACAACCGAGCCCGGAGTTGGCATGTTTGTCAATGTAGATGGCGACGTGGTCCGTGGTACAATAACATTTCATAAATACCCCGAATCAATTGTGATCGACAAGGGCGACGAAACTCACATGATACCATCACCGGAGAACACGCAGGATGAGCTTCTTCTGGCAGTTATAGAATCAGAACAGGATGGCCAGAAACGGAAGTTCCTGGAAGTGCAGCTCTGGGATGTCGATCCCGGGGAGGCGGAGGACCACAAAACCTGGGTAGAAATACCGTCGGCCAACGACATGCAGACTACCCATGCTGGTCTATGCCATACAATCAGCCCAAGCAAGCTCGAGGTATCTGAGCTGGGGAATCTGCTACGTATGGTTCGTCTAAAAACTCCGTTGTCGCCCCATGTACCGGCAGCCGACCCACGAACGCAGTCGTCGATCGAACATTTGCAGAAAGAAAAAGAGCTCTTCGAGGCCCAGGAATTGACAGACTCAGAAGGCTCAAAGGAGCGTGGCTGGGAGGCGGAACGAAACGCCGAGGAAGCCAGGTTTGCGCGTGAACTAGGCCAGACGCAAAGCAGCATGGTGCTGTGGAATGGAAACCAGATCTGGCGGGTGGTGAGAAACCCACTGACCACACAGCTCAATGATGCTCTACAGGCGGCTCAGGAGACAGGCGCTGGCGACTCCAAAGCTTTCCGGAAAGCAGTTGCCGATATCATCCATCATGTTCAGACAACGGAGCCCAAGTCGGAATCGGAATTCTTGGGCTTGAATTATGTGAAGCAGAAAGCAAGCCTGCTTCTTTTCGCAGACCTCATTTTCATGGACCCGACTGTCCGAAGCGATGCGATCATTGATGACACAGAGCGAGCCCTCATAGTTGGTGAACTAGATCCGCGTATTGCGTTGCTGCTAGTTCCCCTCTTGCGACGCGAGGTTCTCCAGGGCCCGCAGGGAATCTGGGTTCATGCTGGTCTTGCTGAGGTCACGGAAGCCTACGTGCAGCGGCTCGACAAGACAGAGAATAGCGGAGCTTCCGACGCAGCAGTTCTGGATATGATCAAGCGGTTCCTATTCTCCTGGCAGCAGAAGAGGGGTTACGGCAGTATCACGGATGAAAACTATGTATTCGACAGTGTCGATGCAGCTCTTCTGCACCTGCTTCTGGAGCAAGATGCACAATTGTCAGCCGAACAACGCGTAAAGTCGTCTATTCGCGCGGAATTGAACCGTCTAGTGGATAACTGGAAGGGTAGCTTTGACCGGGCAGTAGCGCTGTTAGAAAGCTACCGGCGCTTGTTTGTGCTCAGCCGCTTGTATCAGAGCCACAGAATGTCGGGGAATGTCCTCAAAACCTGGCGACGGATTATCGATGGCGAGGAGGATCGCGGTGGTGAGGTCACCGTGGGTGGAACCGAAGCGCAGATGCGACGGTACTTGGTCAAGATCAAGGACGCACAATTGGTGGAGGAGTACGGAGCATGGCTGGCCCAGCGCAATCCCAACTTGGGTATTCAAGTGTTCTCAGACGGCACGAGCCGGGTCAAGTTGGAGACTACGGATGTGGTCAGTTTGCTCAAAGAGCGCGCGCCCAATGCGGTACAGGTGTATTTGGAGCATCTCGTCTTCGTTCGAAATGTAAGCGCCATCCTGAATTATTTGGATCATGCTAACACGTCCAGCACACCCAATATGCGGACGACTTACTCTCCTACTACCTGGACACCGTGCTCTCCGTGCTTGAGTCCTCCCCAGAAGCGCGTGCATCGCTCGCAGAATCCTACTCTACGTATCGCGCCCTGCAGCCACCCAAACCCACCTACATGAACTTCATCACCGAAAATACACCCGCCGAGCCATGGTGGCAGTCCCGGCTCCGCCTGCTCCAGCTCCTTGGGGGCGGCAGCGGCGGACACTTTACCTCCCTGCCCGCGCGCAACCTAACATACTCCATCCCAGCGGTGCTCGCGCGGATCGAACCGTTCCAAAACGAATTGGTATCAGAATCAGTAATCCTCGACGGCCTACAAGGCCGACATCGCGAGGCGCTCCACCTACTCACCCACGGACTGGGCGACTACGACTCTGCCGTGCGATACTGCCTCTTCGGCGGCCCGCGCAGCACCAGCACGACAGGAACTTTGGTCGAATTCGCTGAGCGCTCCCTGCAATCCGAGCTCTTCCGGTACCTGCTGGACGAGTTCCTGCAGATCCAGGATCCATCAGAGCGGCTCGAGCGGACAAGCGACCTGCTGGGACGATTCGCGGCGTGGTTCGACGTGGGCGAGGTGCTGCGCGTGGTGCCGGACGAGTGGAGCGTGGACCTCCTCAGCGGGTTCCTGGGGCATGTGTTCCGGGTACTGATTGCCGAGGGACGCGAAGTGCGGATCGAACGGGCCTTGAGCGCGGGGCTGAACCTGCGGATTGGAACAGAGTATATCGCAGGAGTGGAGAAGCTAGGTGGCTGGGTGGAAGATGAGAGTGGACTGCGCCGACTGAAGGATGGTGGAGCAGCCGTAGAGGGAAGTGATTTTGGAGAGATGGTGAATGCCGAAGCCGAAGCCAACACCAATGTCCACGTTAACGAATGATGTATATACCTAATAAAGAATACATTCACATGACACTTATCAATTACATGACCCAGACCTATAATCTAAGAAGGGAATAGGAGAAGAAAAACAAAAGGAAATCAATCCAAGTCCGGCACCGGCAACCCATTAACAATCTTGACCTTCCTCCCCAACTTATCCAACGCCTCCTTGGAATTCCTCGCCCTCAACTCACTCGTCTCCTCATCACTCACCAACACGAAGTCATACGTCAACAACGCATGATCCTCCGAAACCCCATACTTAGCCGCATATTCCGGCCCAGCCTTACCAATATCCACGACCAGCGAATCCTTAACCCCGAAGACGGCATCCGAGGTCTCATAGGGATCATTACGGAGATACAGCGCCCTACATACCCACTGTTAGCCACATACCCACATACCCACATCCCCCCTCTCACTCAACCCCCTCCGGGGAGGAAAAATAATACATACGTAATCAAATGATCAAACCCGCCCTTCTCAAACATAAAATGCATATGACTAGGCCGATACGGATGTCTCCCCAAGACCTTCAACAACTTCCCGACAGGCCCATCATGCGGAATAGGGTAAGGGACGGGCGTAATGGCCTTGAACCAGAACACTCCTTCCTCGTCGGAGGTCATGATGCATCTCCCATCGGGCCCATCCCTCCCGGGATACTGCACATCATAATGGCCCGTGGAATCCGTCTCCCAGATATCGATCTTGACGTCAGACACGGGTTTCCCGTGGGTATCTTTGACCGTGCAGACGACGAGGAGGGGCTCGCCGGCGGGATCGTGGCTGATGCTGGACCCGGGGACGAGGGGCGCGGCGTCGTGCGTGTGGAATGGACCGAGCACGGTGCCTTCGGTGCTGTTGGGGGGTTTGGGGTGGTCGATGGAGTCGACGAGGATGGAGAGGCCGAGGATATCTGAGAGGAGGATGTATTCCTGTGGGAATTAGTTAGGTAGCTGTCTTTAGCTAGCTAGGAGATTGTGGGGGGTATTGGGGGATGGGGATGTACCTGTCTAACATCCGAACAAATCTTGCCTACTTCCGTAAGGAATCTCAACCCGGTCATCCATTCATCGGTGCTAAGACGGGTTTCTCTTGCGAAGTCGTGGAGGTGCGTGACGAGTCGCTCGAGAATGTATTTTAGTCGCTCGTCTTCGCAGAGAGAGTTGATTCGGATCACGTTCTCGGTGATGTTGTCGACCGTTAGGTCTTTCATGGGTGGGATTTTGACTTTGCTGGGGTCCATCTTTTCTCTTTTCTCTTCTGGTGTTGGTGAGGATGCAATTGGGAGGAGAGGAAGGGTATGTGGTGGGGGGTGTTACTTCTTCTATATGTTGACTGCGGGGACACACCCCACATTTCCTATGGTGGGTGGTGGGTGGTGGGTGTGTAAATTGAGGGACGGTTATTGGTTGGGTTGGTTCGGATACGCTGCTACGTAAGCATCACTCAGCGAGGAGTGTTCGGCTATGGCCATTCCCGAGTTCATTCTTATTTGTGTGTTCGGATTTATGGGTTTAGGGATATATGCGTGTATTGGATCGAGGGATTGGCGGACGATCTGTGGGGTGCATGTATTGACTCTAAGTATTGACTATCGAGGTCTCTTTGCACGTACGTAGTCATTGTATTTAGTAGGAATCCTGTGTATGCGGGGTGCGGATCGCCCATCGGCAGTTGGTGCCGCGGCGGGAATGACAAACTCCGACACGATTAATCCCTGGTTCTGTACACTGTATATGCATGCAGTCACATTATGCTATGCCCATCCATGCTATCCAATATCCAATATCCAATATCCAATCCATCCAATCCATCATTTCATCCAGAATTCAAACCGGGATATCCGCTAACTCGCTCAATCAAAAACCTAATTACAACTCCCTGTGTCCAAGTACCCATATCAATCCAATCCGTAATTCCAAACAAAGTCGGGTCGTCATGCTATGCCCGCACCAACTTCCGCTCCCGCTCTCGTTCTCGTTCCTGCTCGCGCTCCCGCTCCCGCTCGTTGCTCACTTCATGTCCCTCCTTCACCGCCGCCGCCACCCGCGTGTGGTGGTCCACCGTATCCAGAATTGCCTGCATCAGCCGCTGGTTGGCATCCGGGTCGTCGTCGTCCGCCTCCGCGTGCCGATGCAGGTTGACTCGTCGCTCGTGGCTCATCCCGCTGCTCCCATGCATCTCGCTCATGGCCCGCCGCGGTGACGTCTCCTTGGCGAGCGCCATCCCCGCAACCGGTCCTCCTGTCGGCGCGGACTCGCGGCGCACGCTGTACTCGGCCGGCACCTCGCGCTCACGAGGTCGCTGCTCCGTCTCGGGCAACATCGGTCCAGACACCGGTGTCGGGGCCGCCGTCGACGGTGGTGCTGCCACGGGAGTAGGCAGTGGATGGGTCGAAGAGGCCTCCTTGGACGAAGGCGGCTCCTCCGCTCGTTCCCGGGACGTACGGTCGACCCGTGTCTCGCGCAGCTCGTCCTCCTTGACGTCCTTCCAGGAACACTTGGCATGCTTCTTGGTGCACCCCATGCAGGCAGTCAGGTTCTTCAAACAATCCATGTGTAGCCGGCGACACCGATCGCAGGGCGGCAGGATGCGCTCGCCCCGTGAGAGTTCTTCCATGCGCGCCACCATCTCCATCTTGTGCGGGCCGCCATCATCCTTTTCGTGGTGGTGGGACTTGGGCGGTGGCAGAAGCGAGGAGGGTGTATTGGGAATGGCAACCGTAGCGGGTGCCGGAGTGTACAAGTTGTAGTCCGCCGCATCCGACGCTCGCGGCCGCGGCCGGGACGACTGCCGACTACTGGAGCCGGGGCCCTCTTCATAGCTGCGCGCCTGGCGATCCTGGGTAGTAAAGAACTTCTTCATGAGCTCGGCGCGGGTCGTCGGCGAGGCGCCTTTGATAGAGGTGCCGTTAATGATAGTAACATTGTCCGTATTGGAATGCGAGAACATAAACTGCGACGACAGCGCATTCTCCTCCACAGTGGCTTCTCCGCCGCCGGGCCGGCCGGCATTCACGGCAACAAAACCAGTGGAGGGAGACTGGGCGCTGGCAGGGGTGCTACCATTCGGGTTCTGAGCATGGCCATTGGCATCGCGCCAGGCAGGGCTGATGGAACGATGTTGTTGCTGCTGTCGCTGCGAGTGGAGCGACATGTCGTTCTCCCGACGGGTGACGATTGCCGTCCGGCGGTTCTTCAGACGGTGATTCAGTTGTCGAGCGCGGGCAGACACTAGCAAACGATGATTAGTTTAGCTCTTAGAAAATATCTGTGTTCAGACATACCCTGGTCGGCCATCTGGATGATCTGCTGGAGGTTCTTCTCCAGAATCTCCAATGCGCCCAATTCCTTCTCCTCATCCTCAATGATCGGCTGCGGGGGGATCATCTTCTGGGGCATCCCCGAGGCGATCAACACAAAATCCTCCTCGCTGATCTCCACCCGACACTGCTTGGTGTAGAATTGACACACTCGCACCCCGTTGCGCGATTTTTCCAGGTTGAACTGCTCGGGCTTGTTCTTGGCAAACTCGACCACATCCAGCCAGGTCACGTTGGGGGAGTCCTTGCCATGCGACTTGAGCACGCGAGGCGGTCCATCGAACAAGCGCTCGAAGCGCTTGATCAGGATGGGCCCCAGCGGACAAGCGCCCAAGTTCCCGGCGATGCTTTCGTGACGATGTAAGACGCCGTCGTACTCGCCAATGAGATGCACAATGGCGGGCATGGTATCATCGACGGAGACGAGAGGAAGGTTATCCGGGTATTGGCGGGCGAGGTAGTTGATCTGCAGGTGATTCGAATGGGTTTTGGGAACCTTGGATGCGATAGGAGGGAAATCGCCGGAAGGTGAGCGCGGTCGTTTACTGGACGGCTCAGCCGTCGCGGTTCTGGACTCCATGGTGATGCCGGAGGTAGTAGGCGACTCCAAGGAGGGAATGAGGGAGGAAAATCCGGGTGAATTGCGACAAAGCGAAGAGTCGCGGAAAATACGGGGCAGGGGAGGGGGGAGGGATAAATGGGGAGGAACCCAGAGAGGAAAAAAGGGTTTATAGAGGAAATGAGTAATGAGAATACTGGCGAAAGACGGGCTGCCGATGGCGGAGCATCAGGCTCCAGAGTGCGGGTTCAGGTTCAGCCACTGGGCAGCGCGTGCTGCGTTCGAGTTAGGTAATCGGTGACCCCAACGGAAAAAAATAAAACTTGGGAAAATGGGGGGAGGGGGGAGGATCCAGTGTCGGAAGGGAAGAAAATGTGGGGGAGGAAGAGTACCCAGAGAAGAAAGAGTAGAGAAGGGAAGAAGTGGGAGAAAAGAAGAGGGAGTGGAAAGGGAAGGGGAGGAGGAAAGAGGAGAAGAGGAAGAGAGGAAGAAAGAGAGAGAAGGATGGAGAGGAGAGAAGATAGGATCCGGAGAGGAGGAGAGGAGAGAGGAGGGAGGGAGGGAGGAAGAGGAAAAGATGGGGGAGAGAGAGAGGCAAGAGAAAGGAAAGGTAGAAGGAAGACGAACCGACAGGCAAAGGCGGACGGAGTTACGGCCGGGAGGAAGAGGGTTGGGGGAAGCCGTTGACCAGGTTAGTTTTCTAACTAGTAAGTAATGAATGATACAAAAAGGCGCAGGATAAGGACTGGATGGGACGATATCTATTTCTATTTACTAACAACTAACAAGTAACTAAGTACTACTAGCTGTAGCAACACCAGCAAAAAGAGAATGTCCCAACCAGCAGCAGCAGCAGCAACGACACTAATCGATTGCAGGGACGGGATGGTGGAAGTGATGGCCAATGATACCGCCGAATGGACGCTGGTGACGCTGCGGATGGCGGAACGGGCGAGAGGATGGGATGGGATGGGATGGGATTGATAGGGAACTAATGAAAGGACTGGGAGAGTGAGTGACTGACGGACAAGATAGTAAGTTAGTTACCTCCTACTGGAGATGGCCGAGTGGACCGAGCTAAAAGGCCTGCAAGTGGGTGATGGCGATCTTCCGCAAAACAAATTGGTAGCCTGATCGAGCCTGGCCGATAGGGATGTCTTTCTTCTGTCTGTCTGTCTGTCTGTCTTGTATCCCCGCTGAGTTCCTGCGTGATCCGAGTCTTTATCTAGATTGGAATTCCCCCCTTCCATGGACTCTAGACTGGAGTAGTCTCTTCATTGACTTATGATGGCTAACAATACAAACAACCAACTTCCACTCCTCTCCTGCCAAACCTAGCGAGAGGAATTGACGAGTGACCGGTTATCGCTTACCTAAGGTAGGGCGGAGTCCCGCCGGGCTCTTCCGCTGGTCATTTAACATACATAACATGTCATAACCATACGTCAATACGCCGCCCATGCGCCCGTTATCAAGGCAGTTCCAGGCCGGGGCATGAACCGACAACTGTCCAGTAGGGCCGGTTATTGGGGCCCATGTTTTGAGTAAATAGACACCTTCAATGAATGAATGAATGTATGGCAGAAACTAGCGAGTATACGAACACACTAACTGACCCCGATGTTACATCTCCGACAATTCCCCTCTCCCTACTCCCTACCCCCTACTCCCCTACTCCCCTTATCATCATCAGCATTGACATGGTTCCGATTCCAAGCGTATGTATGTATGTGTCTGGGGGTTGCAATCCCCCTTGCGGCGGACTCCAGGGACAGATATGTATAGCAGTAGGAGGACTGTCTGACACGTTGTCCTTTGGCGGCCAGGTGGAAGTTGCTTTGATGTTGGTGCTCCGTTTCCTTCCGGAACTTATCCAATTGGTATCGGTTTGGCTGGCGTCATGGGTTTCGTGATTGTGCACCAGTTGGGAGGCCGCTCGGAAGCCGGCCTGGACCAGCTCATCCTTTCGGACGGGGGTCGCGCTCCGCCCGTGCTGAGCCGGTGCCAGTCGATCAGGGAGCTTCGGTTTCATACCCTCCCATTAGTTTTTTTTTTATACACGACTCATTGTTTGGATTTGCATAGTAGCTGATGGGGAAGCTTCCCCTTCTTCTCAGTGTGAGACATTTCATAGGATCAATCGGATGGAGATGGTTGCCTAAAAAGCCTTTTCATCAAACTGGACCAGCAAAGGCCGGGCTGTGATGGGCGCGTGTGTCCGACACTGGCCGGGTTCCAGCCCCCCCACGATACGCGCTAACCCGGGCCGGTGGTCAGGTACTGTCAGGATGAGAAATATGACAGATGCTGTGTATTGTTACCGTCATTAAAGGCCAGGAAGTTCAAAAGAGTTTTCCGATCTCCTCCCAGCGTCCACAGATCCCGTGACTGGCTCAACCTCGTGATTCACGCTTGTTTTGCTTGTTGCTGCGCTGCTGCTGCTACTGCTGCTTTTTGCTATTGCTGCGACAGCTGAAAATCCCTCATAGTCAAGAGTTTCCTACTGACTGACTTCCTCCGCCCCCCGTGAAATTCCCGTCGGGCCCAATTTGGCATTTTCGTCCACACCGGTGTGCCATTTCCAGGGAGCTGCCGGCCAGTCCATTCCGTTTTCCCTTGTTTTGCCCATCTATTCACTACTAGCTGGTTCATCTCTGCATTTCCCCTCCTTCCCCTCATTTTCTTTACCCGACACCGCATTATCTAATCCACTCCCCTTCCTAATTGGACCAAACCCACCCTTTCACACATAATCTACTACTAAGTGCTTCCCCCCTCCCAACCTAAACACTCCCTCCCAGCCAAGCCATGTCCGAAAGAGGCTCGTTCCGTGGAGGTGGTCGCGGCCGCGGCGGAGGCTATGACCGGTCTGGCGGTCGTGGCGCCCACAGAGGTGGCGGTGCTGGTGGCGGTGCTCAGCAGCAGCAGCAGCAGGAGAAGCCCAAGAAGGAAAACATTCTCGATTTGAACAAGTACATGGACAAGGAGGTGCGCGTCAAGTTCAATGGCGGTCGTGAGGGTAAGACCCACCCTACTGTTACTGTACAATGCTTTGGCTAATCGTCATGTCCAGTTGTTGGTCTGCTCAAGGGATACGACCAGCTCATGAACCTGGTCCTGGACGATGTCAAGGAATCCATGCGCGGTAAGCCCCCCTGCAATCTCCCCACTACTACTTCCTACTGACCATCCCAGATGACGAGGGTAACGAGAACACTCGCTCGCTGGGTCTCGTCGTGGCCCGTGGTACCATCATCGTCCTGATCTCGCCCGCCGACGGCAGCGAGGAGATTGCCAACCCCTTCGTGCAACCCGAAGAGTAATCACGTGCTCTGGAGGTCGATAGGCCGATATCAGAGCAACTTGGCGGTTTGTTGGTGCCTGATGCGGTGTTCCCTTGGAGTGACCAGCCATGTGCATGCCCCGCACAATTGACGACAATGGTTGCAGCACTCATCCGCCTCACGTCCTGCTGGATGTGGTCGATGGGTCTGCGTCTATCTCGATGTTGCCGTCCACCACGGACGGTGGACGGAATCTTACTATACACACCCTACGAAGGCAGATGATGAAATGTATTATGTGCGCCCTGAGCGTTGACTTGTACCTGCATGAAGCCATGCATAGCACAATACCAGAATATACTACATAGTAATGGCGGGCACTTGACTGCCTACAATCAGCTTACTTTCCGCCCTGTGTGTGGTCATGACATCATCCTCTGTCGTCATGAACAACCTGTCGATTTCTCCAATATGCTGCCGTGTATGATGCTGTAACCCCTAATGTTAAAGTTAGTGCGTTTCACCATAATAATATTTGTATCTCCCTCATGATGTTACTGAGCATTAGGCTCAGCCCGGCAGAGGGGTCTAGGCCCAGCTGCCCTGCCCTCGTCTAGATAGAAATTAAATGATCCCTGCAACGCATCCCAACGAGCAGCATTGTCTGCAACAAACACCGTTAATATCTTCTCCAGTTGCATAATCTGACCATCCCATAATGAAAATTCCCTTCTGGGCCCTCGTGGCCTTGCCCTTCACCACCGCCCTCGTCTCCCCCTATTACCAGAATCCAATCCCCGAAGATGATCATAGTATCACCATCGCCGACCACAACATAGACTCCGACCTAATCAATGGCATAACCACCACCCTCGCAACAGCCCTCGACGACCTCACAACCGACATCTGGCCCACCATCGTGAACAACTACCTCAACTACGAAAACCCTAGTGATTCACCCCATCCCTACGCCCAGCAGCACGTCTCCGAACTCGCTCCGCCCTTCCGCCATCCCACTCCACCCCCATATCTCCGCCACCCCGCATCCAATAAGACCCTCTACGACCTCATCCTCTCCAACCCGGATACTTCCATTCTCGCTCACTTCATCCGCAACGACCATCACCTAACCACCCTCCTCAACAACACCTCGACCAACCTCACCTTCTTCGCTCCTACCAACGAAGCCTTTCGTAAACTCCACCATCACCATCACCATGAACATAACACCAACAACAACTACGATAAAGAAACCCACGCCCGCATCCACCACATCCTCACCTACCACACCGTAAAGGGCTCCTATCCCATCGACAAACTCTTCCATTCTCCCACCATCCCGACCTATATCCACACTACCAAACATACTGAACATACCCTCCCTCAACGCATCACCGTCCGCCCATTCCTAACCCGCGACCTAATGCTCAACCTCCACAGCCGCATCATCTCCCTGGATAAACACGCCTCCAATGGAGTTCTCTACCACATCGACTCGGTTCTCATGCCTCCTCCTCCTCCTTCTACCCGCACCATACTTATAACTCCCTCCCTTGTACAGAACTGGTCTGGATAGGGTACTTACCACCAGCTCCGATACAAATACCAATACCAATACCATTAGCAGCAGAAGCAAAAGCAAGAACCTTCAACAAAGCCCTAACCAATGAGACGACTACCAAACACAACCACCCACCTCATCCCCTTCAACAAAATCACTCGACAACCAAGGAAATGATGAAGGAGAAAGAAGAGGATTAACCCTCCTCCTCCCCCCCAACCCCTCCTTCACGACAACATTCACCCCCGAAACCCTCACCTTCCTTTTCTTCTCCCCCGAGGGAGGGGGTAAATACCTCTCCGCCATCATGAAATACCACATTGTGGTTGGCGAGACGCTCTACTCGGATCAGCTGTATATTAAACACGGTGATATACTTCCCCTCCCACCGGGGGATGAATTCATGTTTCATATACAGATGGAGAGTTTATTCACATATTGATATTGATATTGATGATGATGAAGGGAAAGCGGAGAAGCTCTTCACCGATGGGAACTGTCACGGCGTGTATCAGTTTCTCCTCCGGGTAAATGGGTATAAGGGTGTCAAGGCGGGGGAGTTGTTGACTGCAGAAGGGAGTATGTTTGTTTTGAGTGAGGGGAGGGTGTTGGTGCCGCCGAGGAGAGGGAATGGGGGGGAGGATGTGGGTGATGCGAGGGAGAGGGGGGATGGTTGGGTCATGGTGGATGATTGAATTATTGTGCTTTGTGAGGGAGATACTTAGTATCTATACGGTTTTGTAGATAGGGACGATGGGTAGGGGTTATTTGATTATCTTTTTCATGTTTATTTACTCTATATAGTGAGTTATTGTGCTTGTTTACATTGTATTGATGATATTATATTGAACCAAGCTGCAAGTGAACTTCAATCTCATATATTTCTAACTATGGCGTACTTATCTGTCTTAATATTCTTCTTCGTCACTGCTGTATAAACCTGCCTTGATCCATCGTCCAGCCATCACATCAATGATGAAGTAGGCTTTTAATGATAAGTATCATCGGCAGTAAAAATAGTCAATGTAGACATATCAGATCCTCGCTGGAACATAGGAAACATATTCCCTCCACCATGATTTCAATCCAAGAATATCCACCCTCCCATCCATCCATCTGTCATTTAAGAATAGGCCAGCCTGAGTGCATGACACTCATCACATACCATATTGGGGTATATGTATGTAGCAGATGCATAGTGTCAAGTCCTGTCAGACTACTCAATGCAGCCTCCTACTGGCCGAAGGCTTCAGCAGCGCCTGGAAAGACGATTCCAGAGCTTTCTTCAGCTCCTTATAGCTGACCACGAAGCAACTCTGCTCGTCGCGGCTGATCAAGGTGATTTTTTCGTCGGTGCCTGCGTCCAGTTTATTCAGGCACATGAGCACATGGCCCAGGTCGACGACTGGATCGCCCTGCGCGTCAACCTGGTGGAAGACGTAATCGCGGAAGATCTTCAAGAAGTACCGCTCGCCGTTCTCGGACCATTGACGATCGTGCTCATACTCGGGTCGCTCGTTGATAAAGTTCAGCTTCGTCATGAGCCGGACGAGGCGGCCGTTCTCGAGTTCGCGACTCAGGTCGGAGGTCAGTTGGTCGTCGAGGTGAAGGGCGGAGTCGAACGTCGACATCAGTGTCGATGAGATGCCGGTGATAAAAATGTCAATATTCCTTTCCTGGTCCTTCTGGAGCCCGTTCAGCAGCCAGAAGACCGAGTTCTTCAGCTGCGCAGTGTATGCGCGTGTGAAGTGCTCCATGGCCTTGGTAGGGTTGTGCATTACATTGGGCTGGTTGGCGCCCAGGGTGACGATGAGCTGTCCAAAGTTGACCAAATCCTGCCGCTGCAGTTCGGCCAGAGATCGCTGAGTGTCGAATTGAACCACATCCATGATGGCGCAGGCATTGAGACGAATGCGGTTCCGCCCAGTCAAGAGGATCTTGCTTGGGTCAATGATCCTGGCAGCCAATTGACTGGCATGGATCGCTTTCAGAGCATTGGCAATCTGAGTCATGTAACCCCAGAGAACCTGTTCCGGGATGTGCGTGTTATGGCGACCTTGGAATCGGTTTCCGGCGCCAAGGTGCTGTTCAGCCAGCGTCTTCGACAATGGGTGATAGTCGGTGACAAAGATCAAGGAGCTGTCCTGAAAGCTTCGGCTAGTAAACGCATCGTGGACTGTCACGACACTACCGTTGCAGACACGCTTCCAAGCTTGCACGGAGCGGATGGCCTTTTCGTTCGTCAACCGGAAACCTATATACGAGTTAGTATCCTGATTATGGCATGGAAAGGATCACAGTACCCTCGAGTCTCCGGAGAGCGTAAAAATTTCCGTCCTTACTGGACTGGGCTTTGTACACCCAGCTGGGGAATCCAAAGATGGTAGCGTTCTTCTGATGGTTGAGATCGAGCGGGACAAGAGAGTGGAAGTAATCGACCTGAGCTGGGAGCTGAGTATCTAACATCAAGTCAGCATCGTCAACAAATCGCACTCATATGTCAGCAACGTACTTGGCAGTGTCTGGAGCGTGGCTGCTGCCTTCTTCTGCATTTCCTCCCGTAGGTCATTAGGGAGGAAAAGGTCGTGTACGTTTCGCTGATAGCCTAACGTATTCTGACTATGAGGCCCAATCGGGGCATACATGTGATATTGGACCTAACACTTGATTAGGATAAGTTCCGTACCACAGATAAGAAGTGGCTTACTGGCTGCTGGAATCCAGACTGGTTGGCGAAGAACGCTGCTCCGTTCAACGCTGCAGCAGTGTCATGCGAGAAAGGATTGGCCTGCACCGGGCCGACGGCGTTTGCGGCGGAGAGGGGATTCGGGGCGGTCACAAAAGGGTCGAAAGCGCTCGTGCTGGGAACACCGGCAGTCCCATTACCTTGCAGGGAGCCCTAACCAATTAGCATTGCAAGCACGTACACTTCGAGCAGGATGACCACAGCAAATGACATGCGAAGCAGTCAACCTGCGTGGAACACCTCGATCTGGCAGCCTTACTATATGTGCAGTATCGAATCCCTGAGGTACAAATTCTTGTACCTCTGCCACAGACCAATCGGGGGTCATTGTACCCGGGCGAGTAGTAGGGGTGCTGGAGTTGGATCCTGATTGTGGTCAGATTCCGCTTCGCATCCCGGAAACCGTTAGGGCATACGTGATGATATACTTCTAGGTTGGAAGGGAGCTGCGCTCGCAGCCTTGGGCGAGATCGTAGCCATTTTCTTCATGGTTGCTGATTGGGAAGTGGGCGATGATCCATTCGACGACAATATGGATGGGGTAAAACTAGGGGAGTCGACGTTCAGACGTTTCTTATTACTGCAAAATGAGTAAGTCATCCTCCTCTCTGACTCCAACATTGCGCGCCTCTCCCGGAAGTGCCAACCTGTCTGATTGATATCCTGAATTCACTTTATGCGGGTCGTGATTGAAGGCGCACCCTTCATAAGCAATCGGACGGTTAGACGGATCCTAGCGAGCATGAAGAGGAACAATAGGCAAGGAATGGCTAAGCACCTTTATCTTCGTAGCGACATCGGCCATATATGGTCACGTTGCGACACAGCGTATCTTTGGCGTTCTCTGTAAGGTCAGGATGACGACTATGTTAGCTGATGCCGCCGAAAGAAGCAAAGGCCGACGGGAGCATTGAATCATAGTCCGTTGCCCGAAGCCGACATTTGAATCATAGTCCAACTAACCTCGTCCCTTCATCTTCGGAGACCCCGTACCACGACGGGCGTCTTCCAGCGTTGCAGACTTTCCCGTGGTAGCCATGATAAGTTCGTTATCCACAGTTGGGCGCGGATCAACGGACAGGTATGTCCATTGAGTCAAGAAATATCGGGCGACCTAAGATATCGAGAGGAAACCACATTCCTCTATGGAGAAGACCCGTAGACTAGCTCGACAATCCGAGATGCCCTCGGAGACGTTGTCGAGGCGATGTTTCACTGATGGCAGGGTAAATGTTCCGCAACAGCCAAGGACGGCTGGGATGGCGAGATTGGGCGCCCTTTCGAGCGACAGACGGTGGGGGGACAGCCAAAACAATTGAGAATAAACGTCCGGAGACAGGAACGGACGAAGATCTCATGCCATGGATGGTGACAAGGCAGTAAGACCGCAAGGCAGCATCCGAACCAAGGGCGGCGCGGGGGGGAGGGAGTGGGAGGGGGAACTTGGACGGGAGTGCGTCGAACTCCGTCCCGTGCACGGACCACTCGTGCGTCAAGCGCGCGTCTAGCGTGGCTCCCACCGGCCATGACGGAGCTGTCCTTCTGAGGCCAGCTAGTACTATCGTTCATTCCCCACGACTTCCCCTCCCTACCATCTTCCTTAACTACAGCCCGATTTGCATCTGTGGCGGTATTCTGCATGTCCTGAGCATTCTTTAGGAGCTCGTTACTTCTTCTGTTTTCAGCTCCCTCTCTTTATCCTCAATAACTAGGCTATTCTGACGCACACGACTCCCCGCGGCTCACCTATACCTCGTCACTCACGCCAGTTTCCCTGGCCTCGCTGCTCCTCTTCCAACCATTCTTTTCATGGATGAGATCATCAATTGACCATGTCCACCTCCGGGCTTGATATATCCCAACTCTCCGACAGCGAGAGGTCCGCTCTCGAGACGTATACTGCGGTCACCGGTCAGGAACATTCGGAAGCCATTCCTTTGTTGCGCCGCTCACAATGGAACGTGCAGGTAAGCCCGGGTGACGATATACTACCTCTAGATGCCTTGGGAACTAAGTATTTGCTGCCTCCAGATTGCCATCTCCAAGTTCTTTGACGGCGAAGGGCCGGATCCCGTCGAAGAAGCCCGCGCTGCTCTCAACTCCCCTCCTCCGCGACCCGCCCGACAGACCCAAAACCTCATGAGTGATGACATTGCTGCGCAGTTTACTCCGACACCCCGTGCTGCTGAGCCAGCTCCCCGGATAAATACACAGCCTGAAGACCAGTCGGTCTATCGCCCGCCTTTCATACTAGCTCTGCTGTTTACTCCGCTCAACCTCCTCTATCGACTACTCTACAGCTCCTTCCGCCTATTCGGTGCCTTGTTTCCCTTTCTTCCGCGCTTCTTTAACACGACGGCGAATCCTGCTCTTCAAGGCTCCCGGAGAAATACTAACGGTCGCCGGCCCTTGGGTCCCAAAGACACGGCCGCCCGGTTCATCCGGGAATTCGAGGAAGA